TAATTAAAAAAAACTGTAAGAAATAAAAAATACATTAACTGAAATGAAAAATATATTACAGAAAATCAACAGTGGAGTAGATCAAGCTGAGGACCATACCAGATTTGGAAGATAAGAAAGCAAAAAATAATCAGAACAGCAAAAGGAAAAAAGTATTTTAAAAAATGAAGATACTATAAGGAGTCTCTGGGACGGCTTCAAGCATAACAATGTTCACATTATAGAGGCGCCAAATGGAGAAGAGACACCAAGAAATTGAAAACCTATTTGAAAAAATAATGACAGAAAACGTTGCTAACTTGGTGAAGGAAATAGACATACAAGTCCAAGAAGGACAGAGAGTCCCAAACAAGATGAACCCAAAGAAGCCCACAGCAAGACACAAAATTAGAATGCAAAATGTTAAAGACAAACAGAAAATCTTAAAAGCAGCAAGAGAAAAGCAGTCAGTTAACTACAAGGGAGCTCCCATAAGACTGTTAGCTAATTTCTCAACAGAAACATTGCAGGCCAGGAGGGATTGGAAAGAAACATTCAAAGTGATGAAAAGCAGGGACCTACAACCAAGATTACTCTACCCAGCAAAGCTATCATTAGAATCTATGGACAGATAAAGAGATTCCCAGACAAGAAAAAGCTAAACCAGTATAACAAGAAATGTTAAAGGGTCTTCTTTAAGAAGAAGAAGAAAAAAGGATAAAAATATGAACAATACGATGGCAATTAATCAACAATTTAAAAAACAAAATAAACAAGCAGAACAGAAACAGATTCATAAATATAGAGAACATTTTGATGGTTGCCAGATTAGAGGGTTAGGAGGCACTGGGCAGATGGGTGAAAAAGGTGACTAGGTTAAGAAGTACAAATTAGTTGTTACAGAATAGTCATAGGGATATAAAGTATAGACTAGAGAATGTAATGAATAATACTCTAATAAGTCAGATGGATGAAAGATTTATTGGGATAATCATCTAGTAAGTTATATACCGAGGTGTACAACTAAAACTAATATAATAATGTATGTCTACTATAATTGAAAAATTTTTTAACGATTAAAAAAAAAGCTTTAGCAAAAACCAGCTTCTCAGATGCTCCTTGGGAGAGTAGGAGTCAAATGACCTGGGCATTGTCAGGGACATACTGAAGGGAATGAGGAGAGAACCTGCTCACGAAAACAGGGCCCAAGTTGTGTGGGTGCATGACAGCCCCCAGGAGGATGCAACCCATCACCAAAGAGAGAAGGGTCTAGCACTTTACAGGTTATGCCTATTTTTTAAGTTGAATACTGGGGTAGGTCAGGCAGTCACTGGAACCTGAACCTTGAAAACATTATGCTAAGTGTAAGGAGCCAGTCACAAAAAACCATATACTGTATGATTCCATTTATATAAACTAGGAGGCCCGTTGCACGAAATTCGGGGGTCCCTAGGCCTGGCCGGTGATCAGTGCCAATCGGGGCCTTCTGGCTGCTGGCCAGGGCCTCCCTTCTCTAGCTGCCAGCTGCTGGCCAGGGTCTTCATTCTGTGCCACTCCCTGGTGGTCAGCGCACGTCATAGCAAGCAGTCAAACTCCCAGTTGAACTCCCGAGGGGACACTTGGTATATCAGCCATTTATTTATTTATATATATATGTATATATATAATGTATATGTCCAGAATTGGCAAATCCATAGAGACAGAAAGTAAATTAGTGCTTTCTTAAGGCTGGGGAGCAATAGGGTTAGGAGACAATGGAGAAGAAAGAGTGCTAAAGGTTAGGGGTTTCTTTAGAGCAGTGGTTCTCAACCTTCCTAATGCCGCAACCCTTTAATACAGTTCCTCATGTTGTGGTGATCCCCAACCATAAAATTATTTTCGTTGCTACTTCATAACTGTAATTTTGCTACTGTTATGAATCGTACTGTAAATATCTGATATGCAGGATGTATTTTCATTGTTACAAATTGAACATAATTAAAGCATAGTGATTAATCACAAAAACAATATGTAATTATATATGTGTTTTCCGATGGTCTTAGGCGACCCCTGTGAAAGGGTCGTTCGACCCCCAAAGGGGTCTCAACCCACAGGTTGAGAACCGCTGCTTTAGAGGGTGATGAAAGTTCTAAAATTGATTATGGTGATGGTTGCACAATTTTTTTGATGGTTGAACAATTCTGTGAATATACTGAAAATCATTTAATTTTACACTTTAAATGGGTAAGTTTTATAGAATATGAATTCTATTTCAATAAAGCTGTTATAAATTTTTTTTTAAAGAATACCTTTGGAAGTTCCTATCTAAGGGAACATGCATTATTTACAAGTTATAAAGTAAAAAACAAATTTGATTAAATAAAAAATGTTGACCATTTACTTCTTTTTAAATTGAAAGACCATGAGAAACCTACATACTTACCATTCTGAGCTTCTTGACACCTTTTAATCCAGACAATAAAATCAGTATCTGCACCTAGAAAGAGCAAACTGACTGTAAAATCACTCATCTGCAAATCTAACATATTATTCAAGAAATACTTATTGACTACCTACTATGTTCCAAACAGTGCTCTAGGCCCTGAGGATTCAGCAGTGAATTAAACAGACAAAAATACCTATCCTAACAGAGCTTGCAGCAATCCTAATGTTATAGCTATAAATACACCAACAGGCTTAATATTTAGCTGTTCATCCTGAAGAATTCTAATTATTTTAAATTTAATTTTAACCAGTCAACCTTACCAGTTCCCAGATATAACGTACATTTTCCCTCACCCCTCTCCTCTTAAAGGAGCGTCTTCCTCTCTCACAAAGCAAAATCAGACCCAAAAAAGATTCCCAACAAGTTAGAAAGGGGTGGAGGCTTAATAACCAGCAGCTGGAATGTGGTCTAGAAGCCTCTCTCAACCCGTTTGCTCTCCAATGAAGCTACCTACCTAGTCTGTTTATTCTTGGTGGCTCTACTCCTTACCATGCCTATCCTACCAACACCAAGAAGCATCTTTATACTTTGTGAAGTTTTTTCATTCCAAGTTCCAAGGCAGCCAAGAACTATCTATAGTTAGTGAACTGTGTATTTACAGATAGCAATGTGATCATGTATATAAATTATTCACTTCTGAAGTTTCAGAACAATGACAATCGCTAAAATCACAGAATCTAATAAAATATGTTAGGAAAAATTATTAAAAGTACTCTTAAATAAACATTTACTAATTCAAACTAATTGCAGGCAAGATAATTCTGAAAAATAAGGTTTAAAAATTTCTTACAATAAAGTTTTCTAATAATTTCTAATTTCTATAATTTAATTTCTAAGTGGAATGCAACTATATAGGTCTTAATACACACCCACACATTCATTCTAGTGGGGAATAATTACATCAAAATCCTAGATTTAAATAACCTTTTATTCAAAGTAATCAATAAATAAGCCAAACTTCCTACCATATAAAGGGGAGGGGGGTTAATATTATGAGTCATAAATGTTTTATCCTCTCTGATAATAACAGAAGCCTAATACTTTAATTTTTCCTAGAATTTAATTAAAAGACTAATTTGTTTTTAAATTAAATATCCTCAACAGCAATTTTACCAAAGAGAAGACAACTTCTTCTGAGGCCACCTCTGAAATAATTCTAATATAATCAAAGCATAATTTATTCAAAGAAGGAATTTAGGCAGAGAATCTTCAGTTGCTAAAGATAAGAAACAGAGCTTAGAAATCTAGAAGATGAAATGACTCATGTCTCTTTAGGGTTTTCAAACACACATCAAGGCACTAGACTCTAGAATTTGCTGAGTGATTTGCTAATTGAATAGCCAGCCATATTATTCAAGCATCACACTTGGGATAACCAAATTTGAGAATAACTCCTATTGCCTAGATCTCTTCCTTCCTAATTTGTAGGTTCCATTTGCAAAGTCTGGCCTAATGCCGTTTCTCAAGTAGGTATACAACAGAAAAGCAAATATTCAAAGCAGTACAGAGTAAATTTTTTAAAATATAATCATACAATATTTTAGAGCAGGGTTTCTCAAGCTCAGCACTACTAATATTTTGGACAAGATATTTCTTTGTTGTGGGGGACTGTCGTGTGCACTGCAGGATATTTAGCAGCATCCCCGGTCCCTACTCACCAGATGTGAGTAGCACATTCCCCATCCACTTGTCATGATAAACAAAAATCTCTCCAGACATTGCCAAATGTTCCCCAGGGAGCAAAATCAAAATCAGGAAGTTAGGAGCCATTGCTTTAGAGAATTGTGATAACACTCTATCGTAAGATGAAGATAAAATGACAGTACACAATTAAGGTCACGAGTCTACAATTATCTATGAGATTATTTACAACCACTGTCTTTTAGTATTTTGCAGGTTTTTTTGTTCTTGGCTCTTATTACTTCTATATATGTCCAGATAGCCATACTGCTGTGATAATTTTCATATATAGGTATCCCTTGCTTTTCGAAAATTCACAGTATGCCACTGCTTTTACAGAAGACCTATATTATTACTTGTGTTTGCTAAATGAAAAGAAAATCCAAGTAGGATTTTCGCTTTTACACAAAAAGTGAAAATAGCATTCACTGTTTGTTTTGCATGAGCCATTATAGAGGTAGTGTGCTCTCACCAATCACCTTCCCCAGGAACTAATCAGCATCTCAGCATCGACCTTCCATGGCTTTAAACTATGTCTGTACGCATCTGTGCTTTATCTCTATTTATTTTGTGTATCTGTTAGCAAGATGTATCTTAAGGTATTAGAAAACCCTACGAGAGCTTGTAAGGGTGTTTGTGCACTTAGCATAAAACAGAACTTAATTAAGGATGCTGATTGTGATGAACAAAACAAAGACATTCTATGTACATTGAACCTGCCTGCGTCTACCACAGAGAGAGAAGGAAACTTGAAAGGTGCCAAAGTGACTATTGGTTCTACTAATAACAAAGTAGCTGGCACCCAGTATAGATGAAATGATGATTATTGCTTGAGTGATAGGTGTACAAAATGTGGTGTTCTGTTATCATATACTTCATGAGAAATCAGTCAAGTCTTTTTAATAAGTGAAACTACACAGCACAAATATTATTTCTACCTTATACAAGCTGTGTATTTATCATATCATTGCTGCTTTTACTATCTATTACTATTATTGTAGGTTGTATGTATTATTTGGTATGTTATTTTTTGGGATTGGGAATACTCAAAATATTTTGCATATATATCAATGATAATTACTTCTCCACTTTACACCATTCTGGCTTATAAAGTTTCATAGGGATGGCTCTACTTTCAAATGGCAGGGGAAACTTGCATTTCTCTCAAAAAGATGACCTTAGCGCTGGTCAGTGTGGCTCAGTTGGGTGGGCATTGTCCTGTGCACCTAAAGATTGCTGGTTCGATTCCCAGTCAGGACACATGCCCAGTTTTGGGGCTCAAGCCCCGGTAGGGGGTGTGCAGGAGGCAGGCTATCATATATTTTGCTCTCACATCTATGTGTGTGTTTTTTTTCTCTTCCTTCCTCTCACTCTCTAAAAAAATAAATTTTTAAAAATTCTTTTAAAAGACATGAAATACAACACTCTCAAAGCTCCATGTTTCTTCCGTGCCCTGTATCACAATTTACTTAAACTAACACTTCACTTCTCAATAGAAATCTTTGTTATAAGATTTCCTGAATCAGTAATCTGAATAACACTTAAAATAAATAGACTTCTGAACATCAGAACGAATTAAACTTTCACTTGTTGCCAGAAGCCAATTCCAGCATGTCATAATTGCAAGAGTTTCATCAAAAGGTTGATGGAACTTGGGGACTCAACAAGGGCTGAGTCACATATGTCACCTGTTGGGAATGGCTGATGGCATTTCCCCAAACCTGAAAAGGATGCATTAAATTGATTGTTTGCTGCCAGACAGCCCAGGGCATCTTAATCTACATGTTATTGCCTCCTACTGGCCAAACACCTGAATAGCTGTAGGCTAACATTTCCTCAAATCTGACAATGGACTCTGTAAATGAAACCTACCCTTTGAAGTATATATCTCTGCCTCGCCTCAGGACAATTTGTGTTAATAAAAAGCATGGGGTTCTGAGATGGAGAGAACTTAGTTTCTTTAGCTAGGCTCCTCTGACCCCCAATGCCTTTCAGAATTATATTTTGTCACTAGACTCTTAAGTTACACACAGCCCCTTTTCCAGATTGCTGAACCTTCTTTAATGCCGAAACAAGAACCCGGCAACTTGTCTATTAGGAAAAAATAGCTTCTAATGGTAAAGTTTATCAGGGATTTAAATACTAAAGAAAGGCCAATTTAATCAATATCTAAGTAAACCCAAATTCTGCAATCAACACAAAATACCACTAAAAGGAAAAATAATGGAATTGGGTTTCCATAATTGAGATCACACTAACAAAATTCAGCTACAGTATTTAAGAAACAAGAGAAATAAATGGATCAACTTATAATTCCAATACTTACTATCTAATTTCTGTCCTTCTGTAAATGTTTCCAGAGCAGCAGCATAGTTTTTTTTATGGTATTCACATATCCTGTATGAACATATTAAAAATAAATGCCACACACACGAGATTATGAAAAATAGCATTCTTAAATATATCCTACTATTGTTTTCTAAAATAATCTATGTAACTTCTAATTCCCATTAATATCCAATTTTAGAATCCATATCAGAAGGAATTTCTTGATTTTAATTGTATACACTTGCTTATTCCAAAACATAGTTATAAAAAGGAATTAAAGAAGTTTCTTAATTAAAGGAAAGTCCCATCAACAGAAGCAAGCTGGGAAATCAACAGTAGCAGTAAAATAATACACAGATAGAGAGTTTTCATAGCACTAAATGTAGCCTCCTGTCCAATTTGGTTGAGGAATAAATGTTCTCTAGTCAAAGGCAGTAAATTCCAAATAATGAAGAGTTTAATCTATACCTTGCAGTCACTTCAATCTTCACTATTTTAAAATATACTACATATACACCTCCTATCACATACTGCAGTTAATACAATAATAGAAACATAAATTATATTTAAAATTGAATCCTATCTCAGCTATACAATGTATGAATACAGAATTTACTATTTATATAAAGCTTACCACTAATTCATTCAACAATTTAAACACCTATCAATTGTCCAGATCCAACAAAAAGAATAGTTATTGCATACCCTTTTCTCAGCATAGCAGTAGGATTATATGGATTAAATTCAAGAGATTTCTTTGCATCAGCAACAGCATCTATATATATTAAAAAAAAAAATTGTTTTTTGTCAGCTTTTTACAGATCTAACAAATATTACACATAAAATTTGAATCAGGTTTATGTTTTTAAGTTGGTAAAATGGACAAGTGGTTTTAAATTAGGAAAAGCTAATTCAAGATATAATCCAATAAATATTACCCTCATATCTTCCTATTAGTCTAGTATTTAACTTCCTTTTTAAAGCTCTCAGTCAGTGAATAAAGCTGTGTGTTACAAAGCTCACCTAATTTTCTCATTAACATCATTCATGCAATTTGACTCAAGGTATTTAATTTTTCCCTACCCAGACTAATTAAAGTTAAACAAGTAATAAAGAAATACATTCCTTATAAAAAAATGCAAATAAGAACATTTCATTTAAATACTCTGTAAAACAGTAAATATGATGCTAATCTGTTAGCATATCCAATAACCACAAATGAAATCTGTATAAATTCTCTACCCACTGAAGAAGGGATATCCATAAAATGTAAATGGGTATTGCTTAACATAGTTTGTCACATTTCAGCTACTTCACCTTGTATGAAAGACCAATTTAAAAATCCTCAAAGATAATCTCTATTTTACTTGATTCATTGTATCATGGGCAAAATTTATAATTAACACTTAAAGAAGAAACAATATATTTTGTAAGAAAAGTTACCACAGTAATTCCCAAGAAGGATGTGACAATAAGCTCTTTGACAATAATATTGTGCATCATCTGGTTTCTGTTCCAAGGCCTTAGTCAGCTCCTACAAGCACAAACATATTGAGTATAAGTAATCTGGTTTCTAAAAGTCACTGAATTCTAATTAAATAGGATTTTTAATCAAATAAACTATTGCCATAAGCTATTTGGAGCAAAGATAACAGAAACAAGCTAGGAGCTTTTCTTTGCAAGAGGATCAATATCTACCCCTCTCCTGCCCTCTCCCCAGTAAGCCCACAGTTCCTGGCTTACAGTAGATACTCAATAAATGGTAATTATCACCTCATTTATTCTGAAGAGTTTAGTTCAGGGGTGGGCAAACTTTTTGACTCAAGGGCCACAATGGGTTCTTAAACTGGACCGGAGGGCCGGAACAAAAGCATGGATGGAGTGTTTGTGTGAACTAATATAAATTCAAAGTAAACATCATTACATAAAAGGGTACGGTCTTTTTTTTTTTTAGTTTTATTCATTTCAAACGGGCCAGATCCGGCCCGCGGGCCGTAGTTTGCCCACGGCTGGTTTAGTTGATATACACTGACCATCATAGATTTTTCTCCTTCTAATGTAGAGAAGACTCAAAATCATACAGAATTTGAAATGCCTAGAAAATAATGAAGCTGTCCAATAAAATAAAATAAAAAAGAGCCCTGGCCAGGTGACTCATTTGGTTGGAGCAAAGTCAATGTGTGGCTATTGAAATAGTTTAACTAGAATGGAATACGGGCTCCATTCCCAGTCAGGGCACATACCTAGGTTTTGGGTTCAATCCCTGGTCGGAGAGTGTACAGTAGGCAATGATCGATGTTTCTCTCACATTGATATTTATTTTCTCTCTCTCCCTTCCTCACTCTCTAAAATCAATAAAAACATATCTTCAGGTGAGGATTAAAAGAAAAAAAAAACTGAAAGTTTATCTAGAGTTCAGGAAGGTTAAAAGAATCAATAAATACACAATTAAGCTTAGCTGGCTCTCTACTATCCATTATCAATGCAGACAATCCTCCTAAGGTAGTGGTTCTCAACCTTCTGGCCCTTTAAATACAGTTCCTCATGTTGTGACCCAACCATAAAATTATTTTCGTTGTGCCGAAACCGGTTTGGCTCAGTGGATGGAGCGTCGGCCTGCGGACTGAGGGGTCCCAGGTTCGATTCCGGTCAAGGGCATGTACCTGGGTTGTGGGCACATCCCCGGTGGGGGATGTGCAGGAGGCAGCTGATCGATGTTTCTCTCTCGTCGATGTTTCTGACTCTCTGTCTCTCTCCCTTCCTCTCTGTAAAAAATCAATAAAATATATTTTTTTTAAAAAAAATTATTTTCATTGCTACTTCATAACTGTAATGTTGCTACTGTTATGAATCATAATGTAAATATCTGATATGCAGGATGGTCTTAGGCGACCCCTGTGAAAGGGTCGTTCGACCGCCAAAGGGGTCACGACCCACAGGTTGAAAACCGCTGTCCTAAGAAATTACAGTATTCAGTTGAAAGCCCAGATATAATACCTCACATTACCAAGTGATCAAGAGGTGATATTAGAGAGATTAAAATTTTTGTCACCTTGAACATTCAGTATATAAGTAGTAGCTGGAAAAATAATAATGGGAAGTATAGTATGATTAGTGAGGCCAAGAACAAATGAAGGCAAACAGGAACAATGTGATTTTCCACCCACTACTCACACACCCTAGGAATTTGGTAGTCTTCTTAAAAGTTAAACTATTTCAGAAGACACACACTGACTTTGCTTTAACCTAATAGTGTGATGATTTTCACCAAACAATAAATTCCATACCTGATAATCATATCCCTAAAATCAAATACACCTAAACTCCAAACCGTTTTTATCATTTTCACCCTTACTGCCCTGATCCAAGCAGTAACGAATATCAGATCCTATTACTGGGTCTCTTGTCAAAACTCTCAATGTCTTTCCAGCTGAACCAGAGCAAAAGCCCGAGTCCTTCCAATGATCTAAAAAGCCATTCTTGATATGACTCTGTTATCTCTCTGATGTCATCTCTTACAACTGTTCCACTCAGCTCCTCCAATCTAGCCCAACGGCTCCTTGCTCTTCACACACCAGCAGGACTCTGGTAATTTGCTGCTCCCCTAGAATGCTCTTTCCCTAGATGTGCACATATTCATTTCCTCACTTCCTAGTTAGTGGCAAGACTATGCCAAAGTCGTGATTCAAATCCAGGTCTGTCTGATTCCAAATTGGACTTTAACCATTAAATAGCACTGCCTCTTGGTAATGTTCCTTTACTCCAAGTTTCATGCCATCTGATCTATGTATTATGTTTTCTAATACTTTGAAATTCCTAAGTTAAATAATACCACCATGCACTAAATTTTCAATTTTGAAAACAGCTGATAGCTTCTTACTGACCTACTGCAAACATAACCTGCAAACGTCTCCTCAGCAAAGCAGACATACTATGGGTTCAAAAGGCTGTTACAGATTATATCATCAATTCAAAAACTATTTCTAAACACACATAATGTAACAAAGATAGACCAGACATTGGAGGCACAAAGATAAATAGCATTCCTTTTCTTATAAATAAAGTCAGGTAAAAAATTATGAATTTCAAACCAATTTGCAAATAACCTTTAAAAACACAAACCAGCCTTACTGGTGTTGCTCAATAGTTGAGCGTCAATCTATGAACCAAGAGGTCATGGTTCGATAACTGGTCAGGCCACATGCCCAGGTTGCAGGCTCAATCCTCAGTAGGGACTGTGCACAAGGCAGCCGATCAATGGTTATCATTGATGTTTCTCTCTCTCTCTCTCTCCCTCTCCCTCCCTCTCTCTGAAATAAAAAAATACACACACACACACACACACACACACACAAAACATGCCACAAATCAACTGTTGGCCAAGAAAGACAATTTAGCTTGGCCGGCATTGCTCAGCAGTTGAGTGCTGACCTATGAACCAGGAGGTCGTGGTTCGATTCCCCCTCAGGGCACATGCCCGGGTTGCCGGCTCGATCCCCAGTATGGGGCATGCAGGAGGCGACCAATCAATGATTCTCTCTCATCATTGATGTTTCTATCTCTTCCCTCTCCCTTCTTCTCTGAAATCAATAAAAAAATATATATTTTAAAAAAAGAAGGACAATTTATGGTGACTCAGTTAAAGAAACTAAGCAACTGACTTACTGGGCTATCACTAAAAAATGTTACTGAAAAACTATTGAGCATTAATGAACATTATGATACATAAAGTTGTCAGTCATGAATAAAGCACACTAATCAATTTATCTTGAATAAGCAATCTATATAAAAGGCTAATATGCTAAGTGTCCCTCCGACTGTCCAACCAGTCGTTATGACAGGCACTGACCCCCAGGGGGCAGATGCTCAATACAGGAGCTGCCAAACTGCAGTGACTCGGCAGTGGCTGTTCTCAGGTGACGCACCCCAAAACCAGAGAGGAGGGAGCCTGATTCCTCATGGGGCCGTGCGATTCCACCTTCAGCCATGGGTTATGTTGTTGCTGGAGCACTGTCAGCCCCGAATCTGGTTTACTGCACACTTGCATTTGCATTCCACACCCTGTACAACAGCAACTTTGCAGAGTGCCCTCTCACACTCCGGGGGATGTCAGAGAGCTGGTTTCGGCCCTATCCCCGCAGTCCAGGCTGAGGGACCCCACCGCTGGAGAGACCTCGCTTACTCTGAAAATGCCCTTCGAGCCACAGCGCCACCCCAGGTGCGGCCGGCCAGAGAGGTACTGCGGGAGGTTGACTCCAGGGCAGCCCTGTCTCGCCCAGTCCCACCCGACCGGCCATTTTCTAATTAATTTCCTTTCAATGTGCACAAATCCGTGCACCAGGTCACTAGCATCCTATCTAATAAAAGAGAAACATGCAAATTGACCATAACCCCAACACCCTTCCCATTGGCTAATCAGCATATCCTTATGCAAATTAACTGCCAACCAAGATGGCGGCCGGCAGCCAGGCACTGAAGCGAACAGGAGGCTTGCTTGCTCCAGTGATGGAGGAAGCCAAGGTTCCCCGCCTGCAGCTGCTGGCCTCTGAGCTTGCATTCTAAGAAACAATGTTTCAAGTATAGAAGCTAAACAAACTTCAGAAACCTGCTTTCAGCCAGCAGGGCTTCAGCGAGCAGGACCGCAACAGTGTTTCAATTATAGAACCCAAACAAACCCAGTACCTGCTTTCAGCAGCCGAGATCTCAGAGCTGCAGCCGAGCCTCAGAGCTAAAGCCGGCTCTCAGCTCCAGTGACAGCCATTGAAGGTAAATAAATCCCAGAATAAAAGAAAAAAGAAAAAAAGGAGAGGTTGGGAATGGGGTGTGAGCTGCAAACAGCCATCATCCCCTCATCCAGACTGGCCAGGCACCCCAGTGGGGACCCCCACCCTGGAGCAACAAGATGGTGGCGAATTTGCATACTGAAGGCGGGCGGCAG